TGATTCCGGCTGATTGCTTGCCATTTCAACGGAGAGGTGGAACCTCAAAACGTAAGTATTTTCTCACTGTTCATCTTTTAGAGGTGTGTTTTCCTCAACTTCTTCCCGAAACCCCTTTTCTTGTGCAGCGGTGACCCAAACTCCAGCTTGCCATCAAGGATCTGGCCGGCTGGGTAAACAAGATAGTGGCCCAGCGGCCATATTCGGAGCGAAACTGGAAGGAAATCTCAAAGGTCGGGTGGGAGCGAAAAAAACCATGGGTAAGCCTTCTTTTTGTCCGGTAGGCGCACAAGTTAACGCATTTTTTCTTGTATATCGGGAACGCATCATAACCCTCGTGTTTTGCAGGCTTGCCAAGGACGCGGAGATGAGGTCTTCAATACTATGCCCCCTTCTGGTTCCGGAGAAAACAAAAGGCCGCGGGGAGTCCGGTACGGACGAGCCCCAAAGGAAGAATTAAAGCGGACAAAAAGGGCCGCCCGCAAACTTAAAAAGCCAAATCGTTCTTGTCCTCCGAGGAGGAGGAGGACCAAAGAGGATGACGATGAGGAGCAGCCGGAGCTCGTCGCCATCGACCCATTCGACCGGACCCTGAGCCGGTGGTCGATCCAGCTGAGGCTCCTCCGAGGACGTGAGGGTTGAGGATGCTAGTGACCCTCGGCCCCTGCGCGGGTGTCCCCGCGGTACCGATCACCCGGTTACGTCCCCCCCGTCTTCCTCGACTTGGGGCAGCTGCCGGACGACATCCCGATGATGGGGAGGTAGCTTCGAGGACCTTTTGATGGGGTACCCTCCGCCAACACTTTCGGGCTCGAAACCCCCGGAAAGCCCTCAGGCCGAATCAAGTGGAACTCGGTCGTCAACAAGCTTGTCGATAGGTTTCCAGCTCCGAGCCTGGACCCGGACTGTAAACAAATTAGTAAATCTTTGCTTATCCCCACGACGTCCGGCTTTGGGGCCCCCGGTCGGAGGTTGCAAGCTATCTTCATCACCTTGATGGACGGAGGAAGACCGGTGCTGCCAACCGTAGGCTGTAGATTGGACATGCCTTTTCAACGTAGCCCAAACAGGCGCAGCTCAAGGTACTTGCTTCTTCCTCTAATTTTCTAATATTTTTGCCTTGTTGGATTCAGTACTGACTTTTTAGACCTTTTCTTTGAGGCATCGGTGCCTATATTCACTCGATGTTCCTCCGAATCAAGGACAAAATGGAAGTTGCGAGCGAGAGTGGGCGGGGTCCTGAAGAAAAGCTTGCTAGAAAGCCGGACCGATTGGACCTTTTAACAAAGAGGCACCGTCCTGTGCTATCCGGCTGGAGGAAGAAACGAAGAAAGAGCTTGGTTGCAAGCTAAGGGGGGTGCAAGCCGAGTCTTTAATCGGGTAAGCCCTGAGGCTTGACGGAGCAGAGGCCGAACTTGATGGAGAACAAAGCCGAACTGGAAGCCCGGGTGCAACAGTTGGAGTCGGAGAAGACTTCCCTTCGGAAAGGAGTTTGCGGACTTGACGTTGGCCAATGAGGCTCGAGCCCTTTGAAATTGAGCTATGGACCAATCGATTTCGGGGAAGCTGAGGCTAAAGTTTCCAAGCCCGAGGGAGATTCGCCAACGATTGGTGGCCCAATATAGGGCCGATGCTGATGCGGCCAACCAGCAGTCAAGGAATGTTTAGCCGGAATATGCGAAGTGTCAGGCCGGCTGAAGTTCTTATGCCGGAACTCCAACGTCGACTCCGGTTTCGATCTTGCACTCGGACGTCACCAAAGCCGTCCGAAGCTGAGACGCTTCGAGAAGGGCGACGTTCCCCGAAGAATTCGAGGATGGTCTGATTGACTCCGGGAAATAGGCTAGTCTTTGTTTGTTTTCCCCCTTATGTTAATTGCTCTCGGTAGCGAGATTTTTTCAAACATTGTGCCCTTTGCCCATCTATTGTCCTTTCTTTCAATCTTGTTATTACTTTGGCCTTTTTTGGAACGTATGGTAGGTCCTTTGGTGTTCTCGAAGTAAGTTCTTCCGGAAGTGAATGTTAATTCGAACTCAGGCTGTAACTTCGACCTATTGGGTTTTCTTCAGGCAAGTCCCCGATGAGTTGATTCCGAGGCTCGGGGTGAAAGATCTAACCCCTTAGGTTTTTTCGAAGCAGTCCCCGAGTGAGTGTATTCGAACTCGGCGTGAACTCGACCTTTTTGATTTTCAAAGACAGTTCCCCGAGTGACGTGGATTCGAACTCGGGGCACATATTTTGACCTTTTGGTTTTTGTATCGATTCTACGGGGGCCTTTTTTCTTAAAAGGGTTCTTACAAATTTCGAGGTATACTTTCGCCATTAGTTGAAGTCGATGATGAGGCCGGAGGATATTACCTTCTTTTTGACGTTTTTATTGGAATTTGGACCGCCCTTCTCGAGGACTTATGGTTGAAATTAATGCCTTATCGAGGCCTTACGAATTTCGAACTCACCTTCTGATGTCTTACAGTTTTATGTGTCGCCGTATTAAGGTCTTATGAGCTTGGACTTGCCTGTTGAGGTTTTATAGTTTAAAGTGTTGCCTCATTGAGGTCTTGTGAGTCGGTATGCCTCAATGAGGGTCCTATGTGCCTAATGAGGTTCTTATGTGATCGAATATGCTCGAGGAGGTCCTTATGTTCGAATGTGGCCTCGTAAGTAGGTCTTAGAGATCGAATACTTTAGATCGGGTTATGCCAGCGGGAGGTCTTATGTTCGAATTGTGCCTCGGCGAGGTCTTATGAGACTCGAATATTAGACGGATATGCCCTCGGGAGGTCTTATGTTCG